GTTACATAATAAAATTGTAGTACCTAATTTTTTTTTTATTTGAATAAATAATGAAACTGGTTTAATTTACAATGAAAGATTTTTTTTAAAAGAGAACTCTCTTTTTATATATTTTTTTTAATAATTATTATACTAGGATGGATATCAATGAATTAAAAAGTTTAAGTTAAGTTACAGACTTACAAACTGAGTTAAAAAAAACACATTAATTTGCCCAGCCTTGTTATTAAATTGATAAATCATAATTTATACTTATGGATAAATATTAGGTATCTATAATTTTTAAAAGTATCAGTTGAATATCACACTAAAAAAATTTAATGTATATTTTCATATAAAAAAAAATAAAATAGGTACCTATTGCATTAAGTATTTTGCAAAATATGTTGTTTCTCTCATTCTCTATCAATAAAATAAATTGTAGATTATTGTACTTTGTACAGTAACAGTTTAATACTTTTAATTTTTAATATATTATTATTATAATGACAAAGTTCAGCTAAAACTCACTACGCCATTAAGAGACTTGAAAAATGATTTAATACTTTTAAAAACCTTTGCTTCCAAAGTAGTACCTATTTTTTTTATTTTTGTTTCAAATTTTTTCAGCTCCTCCTTTTCGTTTTTTACTACAGTCTGATCCATTCATTTCCATTTTATTTTATAATTCGCAACTATTACTATTGTAATAAAAACAATTTTATGAATTATTCCTAGTTAAGTAGGTACTTGGTAATTTAATTGTAAAATTAACCAAATTGTGCTGAACTGCTGACTACCGAGTGCTGATAGGTATCGAGGTTTTGAATGACGATTGATATTTAAATATAAATAATATACATTTCTAATAAAAATATTCTTATTAGGTATTCATATTAACAACCCGCATCGACTTGTATCGTCAAAATTCGTCGTCATTACCCGCAACCCGCTGATCGACGACAACCCGAATAACTAGAGAGTTCTCTACGAATAACCAATTTTACTGTCCACGGAAGTTGATTTTTTGATTACAGTTATTGTTATTACTTATTGATAATTTATATTATTATTCAGTTTCTGTTGTAGACGTTGTATACTTGTATTATTACAATTTACAACCTTTTACGTTATAATATTATTATAGACAGTTATTACGTAATATCATTGAATGAATAATCTATAATCAGTGGTAATATATTTTATTATATAATTATAAATTATAGATTATATTTACGTCTACCTACTATTTACTATAGTCTATTTGATATTGTTACAAGTGGGCTAGTGTTGATACTTTGAGTGTCTGAAAAAATAAGAGATTTAGTTTGGTTCTTTTAGAATGTATAGTGAAGAGGTTGGCACATTGAGACACTGATTTTTCTACAAGATATATCTGAATCAAAATGAGACATGGATGGTTTAAACTGAGATATTAATTATAATAATTGCAACAACCTTTGAACAATTTAAAACTTAAGGTTTTTATTTAATTTAGCAGAATCTAATGGAATACTTTTCATTTGTCACTAAATTAACTGCTTCTTCAATTATTTGGCAATTAAACTACCATTTATGGTTTTTCTTACTCGGTTCTTAACCCGAGCTCTGAAAGAACATTAATTAAATACAGTAGAAGTCGTATATTAGGAACACTTTGGGACCAATGCAAAATGTGTTAGTTAACTGATTGGATGAGAGATTGGTTTGATTTGTACTATGAAAAAAAATTAAAAATGCATATTATCATGTGTCCCTGTTACTACTTGATCAGCTAATCTTTGAAAGTTACTGTAGTCATTCAAGTGCTTTTGTATGCCTTGTAATCTAATGGTAATGCTTATATTATAAAATCCTATTTAATGTGGAATGAGGAAGTTCCACCACTTAAACTAATATTTGGAAACACATTGTATGACTTAAATAACTCACACTTCTGTTTCAAACTTATATATTGGAGTTTAGAAATTTTGAGATTTTTAGAAAAACGAAACTTTAATTGCCTTTCGTACCCACTCCGTTATCTGAACTACGAACGATAAGTACAGGAAAGAGCATTATGATATAGGTACTGCACTTATGATAGAGTACAGTAAAAATAAACGTATCGACAGCAAAGAGCCGAATATCCGGTGTATATGTCAACTGACCTTCGCCTAATTGTTTCAAATAACCCATGTGATGTTCCAATAATCTGATTGCATCAATTATCTGTGTTCTTAATAAGCGGCTTCTACTGTATTAATAGCTATTCCCTATTTTAATAAAATTTAACACATTAGACGCGATACATTAAGGGCCGTTCTTACAATGTCTGATAACACTAACCGACAGAATTTCTTTAGTATTACCGTTGGAATTATGTCGGTTAGTCTTAACCGATACTTAACCGGCCATCATGAACGGCTCTTAAAGAGTATAAGACAAAAAAAATGTGTCTCTTTTTCCCCCGCCGCGTATCGCACCGCGAAAACATTTCAAGTTAAATATTTAATAAAAATACCTAAACGTAAAGTTTTATAGGAGTAATTATTGCTCAGAATGTGTATTATTTTCATCCGACTAATATGATTTAATAAAATTATAGATACATACCTTTAAAAGAAATTACAACGACACGAAAAATTAAACCGGACGAATGACGATTTTTTATTTTCGTTTTAATAACATAATATTGAGACAGTTGTTGATAAACAAGATTCACTATCAAAAAACGAGAACACAAACAAACCGTTTTGTTGATTACTCTCTTATCTATGTACACTGCCAAACACATAATTTCACATACAGTTTTTGTATGCTTACGAACTGAGGTCTCACCACGGTATCTGACCATAGGATTAACCACATATTATTGTTCTATGGATTAAGTTAACTCATTTTCCCGTTTAAATATCTGTTATCAGCTGATTAAGCTTATTCATAGTTTAATCGTAGACGGTACAACTCTGGCCCTATGTGTCCCCCTTCCAACTGCATACCTATATGATGATTTAATATAACTATTTGATGTATAGGTACCTACCACAATTCAGTGCTGTAAAAAATACTTTTTAAAAGTATCTAAGCAATTACTCAAATACTCTTAAAATACCACCCAAATACTCGAATAGGTACTTTTCAGAAGTATTTGTTTTGAAATAATCTTCAAATACGGAAAAAAAATTCTGTTTACTTTTTAGTTGTGAAATAATTTGTTAGGTATACCTAATCAAATATTTGTTTAGTGCATTTTAATTGCATTCAATTTGTTCAATAATCAAAATTCTGATCAGTCTTGTTAGTTGGCACCACAACAATGAACTTCTCTCTACAGATGTATATACCATAAGAGCGGGATACTTTGATTTTTCAGAAATTTGAAATTTATTTTTGGTGTAACTTTAAAACAAATGACCGTAGATACATGCAATTTTCACTGGTTGTTTATATTTGCATTTTCTATACACGATAACATTTTCAAAATATTTTGAATTGTTTAGGGATATTTTCATTTTTCATTTATTTTTTTATTTTTTTTCTAGAAATATCAATAAAGTTTTTTCTGTTGGGCCAAAAAGTGTAAAAATTTAATTCAAGGCTCCTGATATATTGTTACAACTTACAATATCAGTTGAAAAATATTAAAAATACATAGCACAGTTTTTTTATAAGTATTTAAAGATCGAATTTTGACAAAATTTATCAAAATCTCGAAAATTATCAATCATTGTAATTAATAAATTATAAAATGTTCAGTTTTCATAGCTAAGGATTGCAAATTTAAAACAAAGGTTCTCATAAATAGTTCATACTGTAACCAAAAAATCTAAAAAATATATGAACACGGTAATTTTTTACAGACATTTTAAATTCAAATTTGGACGAAATTACATATTAAAAAACCTAGAATAACTATTTTAGTTATTTTGTTGTGATTGAGTAATATTATTCGTGGGTACTTGAAACTTCTAAAGTGTACTATTATATATCTATGATAGTATCACGGTTTTTGTTGATGTATAACGCGTTATAAGTACCTAATGGATATTGTGATATGATTAATTTGGAATTTATTATAGGTACCTATTATAGGTCAAATTTTGGTTAAGTACCATAGATATGTATATAATATGTCTTATACCTAGGACTGACATACAGTCTCGGCTCAGAATCGTTTTTCTTATACAATGATATTATATCGTTGAATTCAAATTTAATATCATCCATTATACAGTGACCCACTTGTAACCTACTGTACAGCAGAGCGACACCCACTTGCCCACCTTTTTAATGATAATTTGTTATTAATTATTATGCTTATACTTATATTTTACATATTTTATTACTTTGAAGAATTTGCACTCCCAGCACAATTTTTGTTTTTTGACGGTGCTGCAATTTTATTAATTATTAATTTATATTTAATATTTTGTTAAAATAATATGTAAAGATACGTTATTGTTGAAATAAAGTTATTATTATTATTATAAGTAAGGCGGCGAGCATGTTGGGCGAATCACCCTGTACCTATTTTATGCGCACATGATATCCCATCACTTCCTCCCAATAATACGTATTCCGATTTTCAAACGGTGTTGGTAGCCGGAAGATTAACTTTTTATAGTGTTTACCGAGTGGAAACAAGCTTATAATTCAATTATCCGGATCAGCGAATCGGCAAAAGAGGTATAGGTAATAACTGAGAAAACGTAGAACACCAGATACGAGTATCACGTCGGGGAGAAAAATCGTCACTCTAGCTGCAACCAACCTAGCCAACGTCGTAAACTGTCTTCGGAGAGCATAATTATATGATACATCGAACAATTATTTATATTTATCAATACACAAACTGTAAAATCAATCGTGCCTTATTCACGTTTACGTCATCGTAACGTTCGCAGAGTTCGTTGGGCAGTTATTATTTTCTATGTAATTATATTATAATATTATACCTACTATTTTTTTTTTAGATACTTGCCCGCAAGTACCTAGGTACGTACATCGTTAATAGGTACATCCGGAGTGAAATTTACAATATGTGCTTGCCGTCGACGGAACGTGCAGTTGATCCCAAGAACACTTCCGGTAGCGCGTACAAGAAAGTCATAAAAAAGTTTAAAAAGTCGTGGATTTTGAGTGTGGCGGTCTTACTTATTGTATCTGCGGCATTGCAAAATCATACCGTCAACCAATATGTTCGCGCCGTCTTGAAACTAACAGCGATGCAGGTAATTTGAACTCATTAAATACCCAAGTCGATAATAGTTTATATTAGTTATGCCGTGTGGGTACATAAGTATTTTTACCTGGTAATTTTAAGGCATTTTTTTAGCCGAGTTCTGCTTGGATTATTTTTCGAATTAATCATCGCTTTGAGTTTAACATCACGACACAAAATAATGCAATCTAACCGAAATTGGTTAGTACCTAATACTCAATATCTCAATAGTTAGGTTTTAGAAAAAGGAAATATTCCCCTACAACAATAATCGTTCAAAAAAAAAAAAAAAAAAACAATTTATACGAATACCACTGTAACTTTAGGTAAGGTACTGGGAAACTGTATTTTATTTAAAACTTACTTATTTTTATTTAAATTACTTAGGGTTATAAGTTAAATTAAATAACTACATTGAAACATTTGAAACCCTGGTGCCATGAAAATATTCCAGAGAATTTCAGTACAATACTAAGTAACCCCTGCAGTACCATCACTGCTCTTTTATATAGTTTCAATTATTTTTGGTTTAAAAAAATTCAACAATTTATCATCAGCATTTAGTTTATATTATATTATTTATATAAATTGTTTAATTTATACTTACCTGTACTTTTCACTTATATAAAAACCATATTTATAGGTATACTTATAATTATACCTATTAAAATAACTTACTTTATGCTAGGTATATGATATGGGAATTTCAACTTTGTCTCTATTAGATATAGTTAGGTATATTTTTATAAAACCATTTTTAATGAGTGTTATTTTTGGTATAAACATTTTAATAACTCAGAAACTACCTATTCATTAGAATTTTGATTTAGATACATCGGAGTTTTTAAGAAAATCATCTGCCATAGATAATTTGCATTAAAAAGGAGAGTTTTCATTTGAAAAATAGGAGTTTTTATCGCCACAGGTTAAAACAACAAATATCAAAATGAACTAAATATAATAGTATGGTCATTAGGTAGGTATACTTAAAAATTCTAAAAATCAGAATTTGATTAAATGTATTATTAGAGGGAAAAAAAGGGGTGGGCATGTTTGAAAAATCACCCTGTATATAGATGAAAGTGTACCGTACGTAACCCGTAACTACTACCTATACAATTATACAAATTAGGTACTTAGAGATGCTTGAGATACCTACATCCAGGTCCGTCGTTAGATAGGTACATTCCACCCTAAAGCGAACATTTAAATGTAACTCTTCTTTGCAGATAAAATGTATTTAATTTTGCCTAATTCGATTTCATTAAAACTGTATGCCGCCCCAAATGCAGTATGCACGAAACTACTAGTGATTTTTGAAATGATTTAATTGAATTATATAAATATATAAGTAGTGAACTACGCCTACCTAGTGTCTATAGTGAATACCAAACAATTACTTTTAATTTGTGTATTATATTAATTTTGTTTGTACATATTTAAAACGAATAGTATTATTATGTATGGTAATGTTTTTAAACTTTTTCAGTTAATAGATCTGAGCAATTTCAAAAATTTACTTCACGATTCGTGTTTAATTTATAACAAAATACCAGAACGCAAGCTTACTGAATCGGATTGTTATGTAAGTAATAAGTATATATATACACACTAAGTTATAGGTACCTATTTCGGTGTCACTTACATATCCTACACCTGTATGCATATTTTACGACTATAATAATATCTTGTATACAAATCAAGTGTATGTTTGTTTATTTATTTAGTCATGTGAAAGCATCGATCGAGTGGACGTTGTCCTCAGACCAGAGGACATTTTAGAATCGTACGCGGATCTCAATTGGCCAGTTGCGTACCAAAGTGATGTTAAAACCACCGTCACCGTTGAAGATTTAGCCCTTGTATGTACCTGTTATCATTTAAGTTTACAAACTCCTATTATAATACTATAACTTATATAAGTATTGTTTTTGTTTGTTATTAAGGTTCTTTTAAACGGAGACCTCTTACCTTGCGATTATGAATCCAACTTGAAAATCGATCCCCTTCGAGCAATCGAAATGAAGTATGGATGGTTTATGCATTGGTTAGTAATCACTAATTATTAGTAAAGTTAGAGTTAATTATTTAGTATACTTACCTGGGCTACCCGAAAAGCATATTACGTTACTTGTGCACAGGCCCGTAGTCAGACCAAATCTTCAGACTGGGGAAACCAAAGTTTAGGTGTGGCAATAAAATTCACACCTATACTTAACCATAACATACCTTTACATACATATACATTTAAAATTCGTTAAAGGCCCAGGGCGAGTGGGGAAAAATATGTAACAATAGAAAATATTTTTTTGAAACGAGATTGCTGAAATATGAAACTAAAATTATTTCAAGGACTCGAATTTGTTAAAAACATTTTATATACATTTTTACCATGTACATAATAAAAATAGTAATACAAATAATTCTATTAATAATTATACCTATACGGATATACCTATACCTATATACCTAATATGTACTTAATTATGATTTTTTTATATAAATATGAAAAAAAATGCGAATTAAAATAATTATTAAAAAACGATTGAGAAAAAAACAAATTTTTATCCACGCCTGTTAAACATGGCCTGGCCTAAGCCCTGTACATGTGATATGGAAAATGTGTTTTTGAGGGGACTCAGTTCACTATAAACCTCTCCAAACCTAGGACTCAGTTTACCACAAAAAATGGTTGAACTCTGTTTACCAATTTTCGTGTACGACATACGCCGCCAGTAGGTGTTTAGGTATTTAGGTGCCAACTTAAAATTAATCTGGAACTTAACTCTAAGCGCCGAACAATTTTACACCTTGAGTATTTTTCCAATATTGTTTTCAAGGCGAAATTGTGATGACATCCAAGGAAAACTAATGCGTGCTTTATACAGACCAGATTCGTTTTTGAACATTTCTCCCGAAACCTGGACAATTATGTCGTCCAAGTATAAAACTGTTCACTATAAAAAAGTATGATATTCAACAGTCGAAAAGTCAACACGCTGTTCTTCAAATAAAATACATTATAAATTATATTTAGATCAACACGTACTACGACGGCAGAGTGGCGGTATCGCAGATAAGTGGAACGTTTAAGTACCGGTTGGTGCCCAAAAACCCTTGCTTGGAAATATGCAATCCTTTGGACGGAAGTTTAGAAACTCATCATACCCGTAAGTACAGCGATTTATTCCTATATATATTATAGTGGTGTTGTTTAGGTTTTAGAGAGGGGGAGGTGCAACATTTTTGACCGGACCATAATACAACTGAAAATAAACCCCTCGATAACAATTACATTACATTACAATTGTATTTTTATCTCAATACAAATATAGCCTTCTAACATAATTTTATATTTATTATTTACTATAATTAGTATCATATAGGTTATACTGTGATAGGCATAAATAACCAATTTTTTTGAGAGATAACAATGACTAAATAATGAATACACATGATACCTAAATGTATTACCTATTAGTTACTATATGTGAAGGCCCAAAACTATCCTATGCCCGGTCTGCTAATGAAAAGGGGGGGGGGGGGGCAAATGCCCACCCTGACCTCCCTCAAATGACGCCACTGATCTATTATGCAGATATCACCAGACCTATCATATGCATCCAGGGCCGTATTTAGAAATTTTGAGCCCCCTGGTAAAAAAATTGGCTCTGCGGGAGATTGCAATGTACTAGCGGGGTTAAGGGACGATCGTTGTATGCGCTCTACCACTCGATTACTATATGCGATGGCATTTGATGCACATACTTAGAGTATAGAAAGTTTGTGGAGGACTCTGGGGCTATAAAAATGATAATAAAATATATGTGGGACAACTCCTTGATATGCTTCCAAAGTAGGTACCAATTATATTATTGAATAAGTAATAATATAATTTTATATATTTTTAAATATGCTGAACAGTTATTGCAAGTATCTTATTGAAACGTGGTGAAATCACTGGAATGGTCAATGGAATCGATAAAAGGGACACGACCACGAAGATAGAATAACAGACTATTACATTAAATCAATTTTTTTGAAGTTTGGTAGGGAACAATAATAGAAGTGAATATGAAGTTACATGAATAGTATTTCAATTTTAAACTAAAATATAGGCATTAATTGATTGATATTAATATTAATATTAATTTCACTGTTATTTATACAGATTAATGTTTTCTTTACAAACAAAATTTAATTTTTTGATCGTCATAATTTTTCCGCCTCCAAAATGTGCGACCACGGTAAATTGCCCATTGGTGCCCTCCCCCCGGGGCCCCCTTACAACCGGCCCTGTATGTATATGCATATAATATTGTTATAATCTATATAATATACCTATAGCTAACCAGTGATAAATTGTTTTATTTGTTCTGCAGTGGTTTTCAACAATTTCATTTGGGATTTTCAGTATCTGCCATCGAATAATTCTACCAACAGCATAGCTATTATCTATTACTTAGATTAAAAGTCAAATAGGTACACCGTACACCAAATCCATATATTATATGTATTTAAAAAGGCTTGGCATATTCAGATTATTGTTTATATATTACGTGCTTGCATATAGGTACCTAGGTAACTTCTATTATATTATCATTATTATGCGTTATTTACAAAAAATAATATACATTGATTTTATTTAAATGGTTATATGTTTGTACAGTAAGTAGGTATATACCCGCAACTACCGTGAAACGACTAAAGACTTTTCGCAAAAAAATTACAAAACATAATTTTATTGGTATAAGACACTAATTGTATTTATTGTATTTATTGTACTCACAATTGTGTACAAACAGTTGGTTTCGTTTGTTACTTCGCCAGATATGTTGTTAACATCACGCTACCCCTGCAGAAGCCTGGGGAAGTGCTCAAACAGGAATTTTGAGATTTACGATGGAAATATTTGTTTATAAATGGTTGTTGTTGTTCATAGGAGAAATAATTAATAGAAATAGTATTTATTTATTATTTGTTGCTATTGGTTAATTGGGCAGATCAGGTACAAGCATGCATCAAATCGAATTTTCACACATTGCCTACCAGGGTGGCTGAGTTGCACTTACTGCAGTGAGTTACACCAAAAGGAGTTGAACAATTTTATTAAGAGTTGTCATTTTTTACGGACCACGAAGTGCGCAGAATCAGCTATATTATATATAAATTAATTTTTGTGCGCAGATCTCTGGGAATAAGGTAGGCTAATTTAAAAATGGTTAAATTTGATTTTTTTTATTCATCGGTTTGGTTAGAATTATGTATTAATTGATTATATTATTCCACCGTATTATATCAAAATAAACTTCAGAATCTAAAACTAAAATAAGTCAAATTGTTTAAAAATTTATAAATAGCTCAAGAGTTATATTAAAAATTTTATTTTGTCTTGAAAAAACTAACATACATTAAGTCTATGCAACTATTCAATTTTTAATTTTTGTGATATAAGAACTCAAAAATATATTATCATTATTATAATATGCAATAGTTACAAAAAATAATATACCTTGATTTTATTTGAATGATTATATTATGTGTGTGAAGTACGTATGCCAACAGCTCACTCGTAAGGCTGTACCTGCCTTGACACGTACTTTAGGCACACATTTACAAAACAATGGTTGTATAATTCATACTATATATGAATTGTGAAAATCCAAAACTTGGTATTGCCAAAAATCAAAATGTCCACAAATTAAGAAAAACTATATCACGTCCTACGATATGAATCAACACTTGTAATTGGTGTAATCAAATGTAAAAAACGAAAAAAACGATTGGCGGTGTCAAAATACATCTATTTTGAGTTTAAAACTTAGTTTTAATACTTTAAAAAAGTGTTTACAGGCCAAAACGTGATATTGTAGGTTTTGGAAGGTAATGGCAATAGCACTTTTTGAAGTTGTTCCGATTTTTGTTGATACAAAACGCATTATTGCCGGCAATACCACGTTTTGCAATGATAACAAGACGTATGCCCCAATACAAATAACATTTGCAATAATACGTTTTGCATTGAACATCAGTTTTAAAATCGATTTTATTCACAAAACTAATCGATATAATTTAGTTCTGACTGCAAAGTCGAGTTCCTCACATTTTTTTTCCATAAAAATCGATGTTTAACTCGATTTTCGAAATTTTGGCAATACCACGTTTTGGATTTTCGCCCAAGGTACTACCTACACCCTTAAGCATAGGCGCAATTTGGGCTAAATTTATGGGGGTGCTAGATTTATGTGGACCAAAGTAACCCGTGGGGGGCTTTGCCCCCCACACCCCCTCATAACACCATTCATGCATTCATAAAACTACCTGATTAATCAATAATTATTAATATTTGAAAAATAAATATATATTACAGGTAAATACGTTTTTTATTTTCATTTAAATATTATACTAAAGATATACGCCTTTGAGACATAGTACAATTATTTATTATTTTATCTTTATAAATTTTATTGCTTAGATCTCTCTCAATATTAATAACTGACAAATCTGTAAATTTTGACTTTTCCATGCTTGTCCTAAGCCAATTCTTTATTCGGAGCATAGATGAAAAAGACCTTTCACAAGTAGCTGAGCTTATAGGAATAGCTAATCCTACTTGAATAAGTTTAAACAAGTTTGGAAAAACATCTTCAGTCACCTTAGTAGTGCTTATATCAAAATCCAAATTTCCATTTTGTAAACAATTTTTTGCCAGCAACATTTCTGCTTTCAATGATGTTAAATCAATATTCACAACATCCTGAAATTATATTATCCTCACATGATTATTTTATTTACAAAATTAACCTACATTACATTAATCACAACAATATATTATATACATGGTTGTTAGGTACCTATTTATAATTATTATGAATTCAATTAATGAGTTATTATTATTTAGTTTATAAATAATTTACTAGTTACGAACCTTGTAATGATTGATGAAATATGAACCTTTTTCAAAATCCATTTTCATAAACTGGTCTAATGAGTTAGCTAAAACTAAACTTTCATCCGAAAAACGGTATTTTATATTATTATTTATTATTATTATTATTATATAAGTCAAATCTTAGAAATTAATTTATCCTGTTGTCTATGACATAATACGTGTATAACCAATAACAATTAAATGATGCTTTTGAAAATTTGGAGGTGCTAATATGAATTTTGGGGGTGCTAAGCACCCCAAGCACCCCCCAAATTGCGCCTATGCCCTTAAGGTACTATTAAGATAGTGTACTCACACATTTCTACATACGGCTGGTTTCACTTGTTACTTAGGAAAATATGTTTTTAAGTCATTGGTTTGTTTGGTTTCTAATTTCAGCGGACCCTAAGACGAAGCGGACTATAATTAGTATAACAGCCACGGGCCAGACGACTTTGGCGACCATCGCGGCGGGAACTGTTACTCTGACGTCTAAGCATCAACACGTGTCAGAAGAGTCTATAGACTCATACGACGACGTTTCAGACGGACCACACCCACCGAATTATCGCCATGTGGCGACGGTACCGAGCGACTCGCACAAGGGCGGTATAATCGTGCTACCAAGATATACATACCACAACGGTGCACCGTGTAGTGTATTATCCTGGTTACCTCTGTTTAACTCGGAGTACCTTGGCGCCCTCAATGTTAACCTGGTGGTGCACCCCGCAACGTATAACCTGGTTCACCGTATAGTCATGTACCCGGTATACAATGGTATACACGATTGCCTCGGACACTTATAGTGGATAGCGATCAGATACCGGTCGGTAACCGAATTATCACCTAGCGGCGACGGTACTGATCGACTCGCACATTGTGGCGGTATAATCGTGCTACCGAGGTATACACCAAGACGGTGCACCGCCTATAGTGTATCCTGGTTACCTCTGTTTAACACGGTGTACCTATTGGCGCCCTCATGGTCAACCTGGTGGTGCACCCCGCAACGTATAACCTGGTTCGCCAAGTCTTGTACCCGGCTTACAATGGTGTACACGACTGCCTCGTTCCCAGTGGACAGCGGTCGGATACCGCTCGGTGGAAAGCCGGTCTGACCCGTCGTTGGATGGGTGCCATAGACTCTAAACTACGGTTGATGGTTGACGCGGTCAGAATTCCAGGTTCCGTCATTACATTTGTCCACGATGGAGGCCAAAGTGGTCGAACTGATATGTCTGGTTGTAATGATATTCAGCTTCGTCTTACTTGTTACTTAACGATCTCCACACTGCCCGCACTATTGTTCAATGCCCGACTAGGTCTGGCTGAAGGTCAGAGAAGATGGCACAGCTTTGGACTTTTGCTCCCCTTTGAATATCTGTTCGATAGCAGATACATAACTCACCTAAAATTCTGTAAAATTAAAAAAAAAAATGTTTATAAATTTACATTAGTGGTGGTGATGAGGCCGTCAAAATATGAGTATTGAAATGTATGTTATTTGTATTATAATATTATTATAACTAATGTGGATTTTTTCTTTTGTTGGAAATAAACATCCATTATTAATTTAAACACGAAAAGTAAATAGGTACTTATGATCTATTATGGACGGCACTGTGCTGGTTTGAACTTGTTTTTATCACAAAAATGTGTTCTCACGATTTAATTGTTAAATACCATTATAACAATCTACAATGGAGCCAACGTATTAACTCTACACACACGTGCGAGACAAGTAACAATTAAACGAGTTATATTTATGTTGATTAGAAAAATACATTTGAAATTATCAATAACTTTGTCAAAAGTTAAAACCTATTTAATGTTTTTTTATAGTTTTATTAAAGTTTAAGACGAGGGCGTCTTAAATAAGCAAATACAGGGGGAGGGGGGCATTAAATTAATTCAATGCCATATATTATGATCATACCGTAAGTCAAATTTGTTTTTAGAAATTAGGACTTAATAATAACTATAAATAATAGATATTTTATATTATAAATATGGAACGTTTCGGAAGAGGGTGATTGGTCCCTTTATTATATAAAAATATTCCATGACAAAATATCTCGCGTACATAATAATTCAAAATTATAACCATTTTTATAAAAGTTCCATAAATATTAATAAAATAAATTTATTATTTACATTTATAGAACAAAAAAAAAATTAAAGCGGTTAAGTGGATGTCGCTCTGCTGTACAGTAGGTTTCAAGTGGGTCAATGTATTATGTATAATGGATTGTATTAAAATATATATAATATAATATAATATAATATCATTGTATGAGAAAGACGATTCTGAGCGGAGATGGTTTGTAAGTCTGGATTTTTTTTTATTGTTACTATTTACTATAGCCTGTAAGTTGAATAAACATTATAATATTATTATTTTTATTCTAATGGTGTTAAATAAAGTGTTAGAAGTTAAAATCCCATATTTAGCGGTTTTTCGTAATTTGTTGGTAGTTTTTCCCGTGACACTAAATAACTATTATTAAAATCGAAAAATGATCTCTCTAAAGTGCCAT